TTGATGGATGCCTTCCAGCTTTCCTGAGAATTCACTGAACACAGTCCTCTACGGGAGAAAATCCACCCTGAGTTGAGTCAGGCAGGAAGTGGGAGGCAAGAGGGTGGCTATTTTAGAAAAGCGACATGAAAAACCACGAAACTTCCTACCTGTCCCGTTTTGCTCCCATCTGTCCTCGGAAACAAGGCTGCCCCTCTCTTAGATAAAAAGGTGTTTCTCCCCACACAGTGGCTCTGCTGCTGGCGGTGGGAGACAGCACTAAGCTTAGCACACGTTTGCTATTTTTAAAGGACTACATAAACAAACAGGGCTATGTAAATAAGAAAAAAAAATGAGGTCATCCTTTTCAAATCTAAAAATGTCCCTTTTCTATGGGGTGAGCAGCAAAACCTCAGAAAGAACTGGTGATTTTTTTTTATCCCCAAGAGGCCTTCTGCAGCCCACAGCTTCTCAAAGCCAGCAGGCCTGCCCCGCCCTTCCTTGCACCCCTGGAGGGAGGGCGGGAGGCCCAGGAGTAGGGACTCCTGCGTTTTATTCCTGGCTCTGTAGGCTTTGCCTCCAATGCCCAAAATCATTGCCCAACCCCAGCCACCACCTGCCTGGGGCCCTGGCAGGTCACTCACAAGCTCTGCCCATAGCCATGCACCTCCTTCCTGCTCAAGGCTGGCTTGGCATGCTGACCCAGCTGACCCCTCTGCCACCCCTCGCCTCTCCCCTGCCCTCCCCCACCTTGATCGGCTGAGTGGCCTCAAAGGCCCTCTGCATACTGATGAGAAGCCATTTGTAGGCTCATTCCTCCCCACCTCCGTTTTAAACTTTCCCCATGTTCTTTGGGACCTCTTCTGCCACACTGATGGCTGCAACTCATTAGCGTGGCTCCCGAGAGCTGTGTGTAAGTCACCAACGATAGGAGACACCTTAAGCTTTGGGAGACACTCCCGAGGAGGCTTCTCTGTGCTTCCCGAGCACTTTTTCCTCTCCTGAGCCCCCTCTCCTCTGGTGCCCTTGCTTCCCTCCTCCGCCATCTTTTACTGCTTCCTCCCAACTCTCAGCATCCATGGCTCCTCTGTTATCCTTAAGCAAAGAAATGAGAACCACCACAATTTGCTGAAGGAGCAGTTTTTACATTGTGTTCTGTTTCATTGGCTCTTTAAGTGTCATATGAGAATTTTATTCCAAAAATATAGTTGGACCCCCATTAAAGCCTTTATGAAAAATGGACCTGCCCCTTAAAACATGGTATCTAGCACACTATAACACACTGAGCACAGCCAACGGGCGTGGCCAGCTTCACTTGCTTTGTGCCTTGGATTAAGGCCGGGATGGATCTTGAACTTCAGTATTGAAATATGCTGTCAACTAGAAAGATTGGAGCTCTTCACTAGGCATCTTTGTGTTGTTGTTGTTTAAATTCAGGGCTATACATGCTTACATAAGCCACACAAACAAGGATACTTGAAAGCTTACAGCAATATGAGAACGTATTACATGAATTATCACAAAAATGTCATAAATAATTGTGCGCTTCCTGTCTGAGTGTTGTAATAAGAAGGAATTCAAGCAGTTGTTTGAAACTGTCAGTGATGCAAACCAGAATTCCCTTCTCCTTCCCCAATGTCCACATGCCATTGAACTGAGGACCATCCTGGGCTGCAAGGTAAGCTGTTAGAAATCTGCTACCAGTCACAGCCTCTTATTGATATGACTTAGAATTTTCTTAACACTGCAAAACCCAGCCAAAACAAACAAACAAATTTAAAAAAACCAAAAAAGCAACATTGAATGTTACAGCTGACAGAGTGATACCAAGATCATCTGGAACACAGGCCAGCAAACTTCTATAAAGGGCCAAATAGTAAACATTTTTGTTTTTGTGGGCGAGCCATTCTCTGTCACAACTACTCAGCTCTGCCATCAGAGTGGGAGAGCAGCCACGGACGATGTGTAAATGAATGGCATGGCTGTGTTCCAACACATTCTTATTTACAATAGTCAGGCAGCAGCCCACATTAGGTCCTCTGGTTGTAGTGTGCCCACCTCTGACCTAGACCCTGACGTTCCAGTGCCTTTGTGCATCAGAGCCATTGTTCTATTGATGGACTTTGATAATAAAGAGGTATTAAATTTTTTACTTAAAAGCAAGTGTGTATTAATGCATATGTATTAATAAACTACTGTTTTAACCTGCTTTGTATCATTGGCATTCCGGACAGGATTTGACTTTTAAAAATGGCATCTAAGACTATAAAAGTTTGCAAACTACCAGCAGAGAGCTTTGCTGCTGAGAAAATGCTTTCACATCCATTTTCAAAGAAGCGTTGCCCTCTAGTCACTTACTAGGAAGTCATATTTATTCTGAAAAGAGCCCCAGTCCAGGTGCCTGCTGAAGGGGAGGCTCTGACTACATCTCCCTGCCCTCAAATAATTCCAAACATAGCTGTTCCCAGGCCTCACATGGTGTTAATGGGCCTCTCCAGCACAGGGGCGTCCGCGACACCACCGAAGGCTGGCACGCGGCAGGCTCCTGCCTGGCACGCCCGCCGGCCTGGACCGGGGCCTTCCGTCTCATTCGGATGCCATGTACTCCAGCCCTCCCCTGGTGGCTGGGGAAGATGTGCCAGCAGTAGGCATGAGCGCCGGGACACTCCAGAAGCCCTGAGTCAGCACCCCATTAATCACGGATGCTTTTATCCCCTGAGAAGAGCATGGGAAGGGGTGGGGACCAGATTTCTTGCTGGAACTGACAGCTCATTTCCCTCTGAGCCAGTCCCATCCTCTGCAGAGCCTTCCACACAGCTGGCAGAGCCCACATGGACAAAAAGAGAGTCTGGGAGAGGAGTAGGGGGAGGGCACACACCAGGTCTGGGGCGGCTTCCTCGCTTTGCACTCCCCATGTCGCTGCCCGCATCCCTCAGAGGTTTGTTTCCAGCCCAGTTAAAGTACCTATTGCTCCCCTGGCTGAATAAATCCAGACTCTGCCCCGAGACTGCCAGTGGGGGAGACCCATGACTGGCGCACTGTGATATGTGCAGAAGGAAACAAATGCTCAACTGAGACACTGTGAGGCATCATCCCAGGGTGCCAAGGAAGGGGGACCCATTCATTATGGCTCCATGGATTCCTATGAAGATGTAGGTATTCCTGGGGGAGGGGCATCCTTGAAGCTGTGATTGCCTTTCTTCAGGAAGCATCTTCGTGGAAATGGGAATGCTAGGTCTCCTGTAACAGGAGGAGCTCTGTTCCTTAGTAGCTGTGTGACTGTCTTTAAATTACTGAACCTTTTCATGCTGTTTCCTTATTTTCACAAAATAAGGAAAAAGGGGCAATAGAACCAGCCTCACCGGGTTTTCTGCAGGACCCAGTCTTGTCTGTAAAGTGCCAGGGCCCACATGCAGTGTCGGGCCCTTTTTCCACCCTGATTCTTAGGGACTCATGCCCTGGGGCCCAATGGCAGTGCTGCCGATGGCAGAGCACAGCAGACGCGTCCCAGCACTGGCCCAGGAAGACAGAGTGGCGGCTGTGCCGCCTGTTTGGGTCAGAGGGGCTGCTCGTGTTTGGGGAGCCCTTGCTATGTGTGCAGCATCATCCCAGGAGCCTTGCCTGTATTTTCACAGCAGCCCTGTGAGGTAAGTAGCACTGCTTTCCCATTTAATACGTGAGAGAGAGGAGGCAGGGAGACTGAGCAACTGCTGGAGCTGAAGTTTGAGCTCAGGAAGGCCCAGAGCCTTCACTGTTAGGTGCCACGGCAAACATCCCTCTCAAAATGAGGCTCAAGTGCCCAGCCCTTCCTCAGAGTCTAGGGGATGACCCCTCCACCTCCACTGAGAATGCTGGTCATGGCCTGGGCCCAGCGGCCTATGTGGTGTGGCCAACTATGGGCAGAGGCCTGGGCAGGCTCCCGGGGGAACCAGCTACTGTGGTTCGGCAGCTACTGTGATGCCACCCCTGAAGGCTGCCTGTGGCCCACCCTCCTCTCCATGAGAAAACTTCTGCTTGGAGGGAATGGGAAGAGGCACTGCTCACTGCACACAAGGCTGGGAAGCAGCCCCCAGGACCCAGAGCCAAGTCCACAGACCCAAACAGAAGAGCAGCATCTTCTGGAGCGCCAAGTGAGAAGCCTCAGAGCACCCAGACCTTGGCTATATCAGAATCAAAATACAAACCCCCATAGCCCCACCCCTTAAGAGTCCGATTCAAAGAACATGGGCCAGGGAATCTACCTTTCCCCCCGCCTCCCACCAGGCACTCTCACCCCTTCCCTGGTTGATTCTGATGCATCACAGCCAGATGCAACATCCACGACATATTCCCGACTCAGTGAGCTTCTAACACCACACACCTAACCTGAACCACAACCTGAACTTCTAACCTAAAACCGCAACACATACCTGAAGAACAAAAAAGAGGTCATAAATACACCATAATGCTGGCTCCCCAGGCCAAGTCAGTAAGTATCTTTGGAGCTGGGGCCCTGCCACTGGAATGTAAAAAAAGTCTCCAGCTGATTCTCATGTGCAGCCATGGCCCGGAACCTGACTTTCTTTCAATTCCTGACAAAGGGGAGGGACCTGAAGAGATGGTGCTCAAGTCTTCAGGATCCGCTGTGCTCCTCAGCCCAGGCAGTGGATGGACAGAGCTTTCCTGGGGCAGGGGTGCGGAGGGCAGCGAGGGGAGGGGAGGAGAGAGGATGGCAGAGCTGGTGGGTGGGGAGGCGAGAGGAGTTGTTGCCAGGGACAGAATGGAAACTGAGGAATTGGGGACACGGGGCCACATTTGGGGAAGAAAACATGGGGCAGTGAAAAAGTGCTGGCACTTGAGGTCCCTACTCCTGGCCAAGGAAGTCCCTAGAATGCCTGGCTTTCACAGGGGCTCAGAGAAGGCAATAACAACAACAACAACAATAATAACATGCTTAAAGAGGATGAACGTTAGCGAGCTCATGCAAGGAAAACCAGAATGGCGCCCCCAGCACGCACATTCCGTGGCGGCCCACTTCTTACCTGTGCTGCAGGCACCACTTCCGATGACCAAAACTAAAACGCTGCTCTCGTTGAAAACCAGCGTTCATGTCCACTCCTGCTGCGGCTGCCCTCCGCTCACGCCCGGCTCTTCGCCCTGGAAAGGGGGGCTTGCCTGGCCAGTACCTCTTGAGGCTCCTCCATGAACTAGTTCAAGGCTGCGGGTTAGGTTCTCAAATCCTGCAGGGGAGAGTTGAAAAACATGGTTAAGGAGTTTGCTTAGTCAACTTCAGACACAGGACAATCTCTGCCTGGTCCCAGGAGGCCCAGGCCCCCAACTCCTTCCAAGCTGCTTGTCTTGGCTCAGGGCTAGATCGCCATGTTCCCCTGGGAGGACGGTGTGGCCTGGTGGCCACCTTGTACCCAGCTCCCCCTGACCTCTCAGAGCCTCCACTTCTTCACCAGTACAGGGGATAGATTCTAAGATGGCCCCCAAGGCTTCCTGTCCTCCTGGTGTGCACATCCTGCATTATCCCCAGGACTGTAAATACGAAGGATTTTATTCCTGTGATTAGGTTCTATTATAGGGCACAGATGACCTTAAATTAGGGAGATTATACTCTGGGCTTGACCTAACTGACAAAGTGCTTCAAAAGCAGAGTGTTCTCTGGCTGGTCCCAGAAGAGGAGGTCACAGAGATGAGAACAAGAAGGAGGATTGGACAGGCAACTGCTGCCTTTGAGATGGAGGGACATGTGCAAAGGAGCCAAGGGCAGCCTCTGGGAGCTGGAGTGCCTGATCCCCACCAGCTGACAACGAGAAAAAAACCAGAACCTCAGCCCTACAACCACAGCGTCTGGATTCCATCAACAACCCCAATGAGCCTGGAAAAGGGGAATTTCCCCCAGAGCGACCAGGCAAGAGCTCAGCCTAGAAACACCTAGGTTTCAGCCCTAGCAGCGAATCCAGCCACTTAGAACTGTGAGTCAACACGAGTACTGTATTAAGCCACTAAGTTTGAGCTCATTTGTTATACAGCAAGAGAAAACTAATACAGCCCGCAAAAGTGACTCACATTTGGGCATGAGTGAGGAGTAAATACAACACTAGACGTAAGAGCGCATTGTATTTTCCAAATCTCTAAACAAAACAGCATTCAGGGCCGCAGGAGGCCTGTTTCAGGGTAGGAGCTCAACAAGGGCTGCTAGGTGAATGGGTGAACGAGTGAACCTTGGTTTTTAGTAATCAACCTGCCAGGTTATTAAAGGGTCAAATAAGAAAATACGGGGCAAGCGCTTTATGATCAAGAAAGCCTGAGTTGTTTTGGTTGAGTAGGGCATGGTGTGTCACATCCACCTGCTCTCTTGGGACTATACTCTGGTTTATCGGCTGGAGGCAGAGTGATGTGAGGGCGAGAATGCGGCTTCTGGGGCCAGGATACCTGGGCTCAAGTCCCAGCCCTTCTACTCATTACCTTGCAGCTTTGGCAGGTTCCTTAGCCTTGCTGTGTCTGTAAAAAGGGGCTAAGAATGGCAAGTACCTCCCAGGTTTTAACGACTCAGTACCTGCAAAGGGTCTGGACCAACGTCTGGCACATGGAATGGCCAGCGTAATTGCTATGGCTGTCCTTACTCTCCCAGAGCAGACCTTGTAGCCTGCTTCTGGGGAAACCTGCACACAGGCCTGGGGCATTGCCACCTTCCTCCTCTCAGGCACCCTGCTTTTTACTGACACAGCCCGAGAATGGTTAGTGTTTCGGCAACTCCACCCCATTGCTGATTCCTACGGCGCGTTTGGTAACCCCTCTGCTGCCTGCCCCATAGTTGCTGCTCTCAAATCCAGGCAGCCATGCCTTGCCCACAAGCCAGAACAGCATCGGAACCGCTTAGCATGGTAGAACTTGCTCTGTGGCTCCGGATCATTTCCTGTTGTCCAGCCTCTTCACCACTCCACAGATCTCCATCATCCCCAGATCGGATCTCACACCCTCCAACAGATCTTGATTCATACTGAAAATGTCTGTGCTCGATCCTCCTCAGTGTAGAGACACAATTCTTTAGGACACACTGTTCTATAAACGTAGGCCATGATTTCCCACCTCTGAGCCTTCGCTCATGTCTACTAGGCCAAATCCTGCCCATCCTCCCTCACTCAGCTTTCCCAAACTGGACCTAAGCCCCGCCTCCCCAGAGGACCCAGGGCACACCTGGTGTGCCTTCCGAGACAAATCACAGTTCCACGTGCACAGAGGCTCTAGGAGTCGCACGCCCCTCGTGGACTGCCTCGGGGGTCCTCGGGGGGTCAGTCTGACTCATCCCCCACCCCTAAAATCCATTATGATGTCTTAACAGTCAGTGGGGAACAATTTTCTTTGGAACCTAATTCGGTTGTTCATTCATTTCACAGATGTGCAGTCAGTGCCTACTTTGGCTCAGGCCTGGCAGTAACTGTTGGGGATACAAGACAGCAAAGATTCAGTCCCTACCTTCAAGGGGATCACATTCGGGGCAAGGACTCAAAGGAATGCCTTTCAGTGTCACAGGTTCTAAGCGACCAAACGGTGAAGGCAGAAAGAAGAGAGTAGTCAGTTTGGATGGTGTCTGAACATGTGACGGAAAGAGAAAGAGGCTATTTTGAACAAAGTAAGCAGTGTAAGTAGGCTGGAGACCCCAAACTGGACCAATGTTCAAGAAATTGCATGCTGTCCACATGGCTGGCAGTGAGGGTCAGTGACAGATCATGAGGAAAGAACTTGTTATGGGGTAGCCTGGATTTGACCTTATCAGGCCACTGAGTTGTTCTAGTGAGTGAGATAATGGTCAGAACCAGGGGCATGGCTTGAGGAGGGGACGGGATGTGGTGGAGGGAGTAAGCGGCCACTCTCCTACCCTCAAGCGAGACCGGCATCACCCGAATGCTACGCCTGGCTCCAGCGGCAGGTAGGAAAGGTGGTGGACATGCCAGTACCCTGCCACTGTGGAAAGTCACACACGCCTGAGGTTCTACACAGCCCACTGAGCCCATTTGTATACCTCTTCTCCACTAGACGCTGCTGAAATACAGAGAGAAGTGTAGGAATAAGAACAGACCTATAGTAGCACCAGCTGGTCAGCAAGTCTGAGGAAAAGCAGATGACTGGGAGTGACAGAAAATCTAATCAGAGCTACGCCAGCCTCACCCAACAAGGGCAGGGAAAGGTCCAAGAGCCAAATGTCTGGGGCGCTCCGTCAGAGGCAATGGGAGTGAGGGCAGGGTAAGCTGGGCTGGATGCATTCCTGAAACCCAAGGATGATGTGTGAATCCTTCAGGTTTCAAAAAAGACTAATGTGGGGATGGGGAGGGGAGAAGGGAATTGGCCCCTACACTGTCTTTGTCTATGACATTCTTCTTCCAGGAGACTCTAGCCCTGGCAAATGGCTTGACTGTATACCACAGAAACCTCCTCAAGACCTATAGGCTTTTCAATCAATAGTTTGTGCCCTAATATTGATTGAATCCCTTGCTTTGCCTCAAAATTCCCCTTGCTTGTTTCCACCAGTCTCCCATATCCCATTTTAGGGACCTCCAATCCTCAGCAAATCCCCATCTTGCCCTTTTCCTCCAGACATGTCAAGGCTCTGTGGTGAGCAATAAACTCAGCTTCGTCTCCAACAGTCTCTATGAAAATTTCGAGAATCAAACTGACATTGGACTTGACATCTGCATCATCCACTGCTAGAGGGCAACAGAGCAAAGACTACAGAGCTCTGAGGAAAAAGAGTTAAAACCCTGAGATCCGTTACTCAGCCAAGTCTCAAAGCCAAAGAGAGAAGTACTAAAAATAGTATGCCACCCACTTATCTTAACGAAATTACTCAAGGAATTACTCCAACCAAATAAAATCTGTATCAGAATAAGTAATTCAAGAAAGGGAAAGACGGGATACACTGGAAACAGTGATGAACAATAAAAGTAGAAAAACGTACAGTCAAATCTAAACAAATGTTGATAATAATAGTCTCCTCTTGCTGGAAAGTAGACACCGTTTAATTCTTGACATTAATAGAGAAGTATGGGCTTTAATTTTTTATTGAAGGGTAATTATTTCTAGAAGAAAAATAAGTTACAGACCTTTTACATCACTCTGTGTGGGGGAGGGAGGGGAGAAACAAAGAAAATCCAATTAATTGTGCAATTAGGAAAGGGAAAACTAGGCAGGAATGAAAAAAGTATCATAAAGAAGACATAAAATAAGAAAAAAAAAAAGTAAGACCAAGCACGTCAATAAATACAAGAATGTGAATAAATTAAATTACTCTAAAAAACCTAGCCATATACTGTTTGGGAGTGACACACTTAAACTGACAAAGAAAGGTTAAAAGCAAAGAAATGGCAAAAAGCCATAATAGGTAAAATGGTTACAAAAAGAATGCAGGGAAGTCAATATTGACATCAGCAAAAAATGTTAAATAGATTAAAATGGGGCATTTTATATTGCTAGGTCTATCTCTTCAGGAAGACACAAATATCATCAACCTTTACCTTCACCCTGAACAAAGATCCATAAAACATATGAAATAATTCATTCCTAAAACCACAATAAGAAGGCAAAACAATAGTGAAGGATGAGCACAGTATTCACAATTTTATGGGACAAATAACCTCCAATGAAAACTAGGAGGATTTTTTTAAAACCATCTAGGATTCCTTCCCTTCCCTCCCTCCCTCCCTCCCTCCCTCCCTCCCTCCCTCCCTCTCTCTCCCTTCCTTTCAAGATTTTTAGACAGAGGGGAAGGAGGAGAGAGAGGGAGAGAAACATCAACATGTGGTTGTGTCTTGCATGCCTCCTGCTGCGGACAGGACCTGGCCCGTAACCCAGGCATGTGCCCTGACTGGGAATCAAACCAACAACCCTTTGGTTCTCAGGCCAGCGCTCAGTCCACTGAGCCACACCAGTCAGAGAGGAGGAGGGGGATTTGAAGAGAGTTACAGGCCTACTCACGAAACAGAGAAAAGGCCTTTTTTCCTCAAATGTCCCTGTACTAGATGACAAGATCTCATATTCCAACAGCACATTCTTAGTTCTCAGTGAAATGGAAGTAGAAACTAACAATTGGCAAAAAAAAAAATTTAAAAAGTAACCTATGCCCATTTAGAAAATGCTTTTCTAAATAACACAACTCAAAAGAGGACGGCAAGGCTGAAATTGTAGAATATGTATAAATGTCCAGCATTGAGAATGTTACTTTTAAAAATCTGTG